CAAATCCTGCTGGTAGGCCCCGCCCCTTAAAATCTGCTTTTCAATGAGCACAGAGAAAGTTTCCACTTTCAGCAGAAAAATGTAAAAACATCCTTCTAGTGTCAAACTCTGCACATCATTCAAACAGCACTGCAGGAACAAGAAGATACACTGATTTCTGACTGGAGGAGACTTTACAATCAGCCCTGTGATCTTGTATCTAAACCGTTTTAATGACTGTGTAGAGGCTTGCCTGCAGGTCTAGGTGTTTTAATATAACTTAATTAACGTCCTTTTCTCCTGTCAGCATGCTACATTTATGGGTTTTTATCAAATGAAGTGGAAAATATCAGGTTTCAAAAATGTACCTGCCTGTCTCTGTTTGTGTCTTTCTCCAGCAATGACTTTGATGTAGGTCTGGACCCAGATATCAGTCTGGCAGACATGTATCGCTGGAAGGTTTCTGCTTATGCTCCATGTAGCTCAACCTGTACAACAGGTAAACCCATGCACAGCATTCATCACAACAATATGATAACACCCTGATTTATTCTAGATTTTCTGATAACACATCTTGTGAAAGTTGTTGTAGCATGACTATAGAAAATATTAGTGTCTGATTGGCTGGTACTGTAAGTGTCTGTCTAAACTGCTTATCAGGACACCTCAGACAGCGTTCCAGACCACAGTTTAAACATTGTTCTAAATCAGTGTGCAAGATGTGTCACACCCTGTGTACTCCCTGTTAACACTGTGTGTCTGTGTGTATTGCCAGGTATCACCACTAGCTATGCCCTTTGTGTACGGTATGATGGCACTGAAGTTGATGACAGTTACTGTGACTCTCTGACCAGACCTGAGCCCACACATGAGTTCTGCACTGGAAAGGAATGTCCTCCAAGGTACTGCCCTTTCTGGTGTCACTTACTGACTGTCTGCTTTGTACTTTGGCACAGTTTCATTTGCCAGTGGCAAGGAAGTTAGGATTTTCGGTAATACTTTATATTAAGGTACACATATTCACCATTAACACGTTTTTTTCATTAGCATGCATATTAGCAACATATTGGTAAGCCACACAGGTTCCCTATTGTAAATCTGCCCCCTGTTCACACTTAATAAATCTGTTATAGCACACAACTACTGCAATTAACCGAACAGAATTGTTGGGTTGAAAAACCTTGAAAAAATGCATAGGAAGGGTATCTATTCATATACATTTTTTGAAGTGTCTTCAAGGCTAGGAACAAATGTACTGATTTTCTTGTGTGAGAGATCAGAAAAGGAAATACATGTCAGATAAGATGACACCCTTGATATGTCCATTTAAAGTTATCTGCTAAATTAAATATACAGTATAACCACATGTCCCTATCTTTAATAGAATATCAATAACAATTATATTTATTGAGGGTTCCCAAATGTCCTGGAAAACATTGAAAACCTGAAAAATTTAGAGACTAATTTTCCAGTCATGGAAACACCTGGAAAGTTGTCCTGGAAAATGTTATTGTATTTTAACCTTTCACTCAGCTCTACGCCTCAGATCGCCTACATATTTTATTTGTAGGTTAACCTTACCGGTATGACACTTCACTTTACCAGATGTGGAACGAACTTACAGCAATCTTCTTCTGCATTTTTTCTGGAGCTGAAGATGAATTTGATGTAAAATTAAAGAAACTCTACCTAATTGGAATTGTTACTCATCATGAACCCTGTATCATTAACAAAGTAGGACTAAACCTGGGGATAAATACTAGACCTACCAGTAAAGTATATGACCGTTGGGGAGCAAGTGCTGTCCTGTGAAGAAAAACTCCTGGAAAGGTCCTGGAATATGATTTATTAAAAAGAGTGTAAAACCCTGAAGATTAGTTGCAAAAGAGAAAGTTTGTGGATTTTTGTTGTATATCTCAAATCAAATAGTTTTATATGCTGTTTGTTGTCATGCAGAATTTTCAATTCTATATTTCTTTTATTTTTAAGCAAGGATTTGTGTAGGACTTGACATTTGTTTACACTGCTGATTCCTAGTGGTAGTATCGAAAAAGACACTGTGACAGGCAGGAATGACCCAGGGACACAAAGATAAATTGGCTGAATGCAACATAGACAACATACTGTTGACTACTAAGATTCACTGGCATTGTCAAGATTTCTACAAACAAGAACCTACGCTGAAAATTCAACATATAGAAACAAACAAGAATTTCATACTGAGGTAGAAATTCAATGACTGAACATTTGTATTCACCAAATATCTCTGAAACTGTATTACATTAACTCTCCTCAGATGGGAGACCAGTGGTTGGAGTGAGTGTTCTCGAACCTGTGGGGAGGGCGTTCAGTATCGTACTGTGCGCTGCTGGAAAATGCTGTCGCCCGGCCTCGACTCCTCTGTCTACGACTCGCTGTGTCTGTCACATGACCTTCACAAACCAGCCAATAGAAAGGTCTGCCTCGGACAGAGCTGCGGACCCCAGTGGGAGGTGTCTGAGTGGTCAGAGGTAATACATCAAGCACTGTGCACATCAGTCTGGTGTATTTTATTTTGTTTCTGGAGTATTTCCATGGTTCCTAAATTCTGATTTTGATACCATCTTGAAGTCTGATGTCTTGAAATCTGAAATTAGTGTGATCAAGCAGCAAAAAACATAATGCGAGAGTGTATTCTGTTAACCAAAAGCAAAGATTTCAACATCAGTTATCAAATTATATCCCATATAATTTCACATACTTAAATTTGCATTGAGCAGTTATCAATAACAGATTTTATTTTAAAAAGGAAGAGATTCATTGAAGTAGCTAAGATAAAAAATACATTTTTAAGATAATACTGAACTGGATTTACAGAAGACCTAAAACTAAAAAAATAAAACCAATAATTACCCTGGCATCCATTCATCAATTCTTGAGTGACAAAGCCAAACAGCCCAAATGTCTTTAAAGACTTTCCTGGTCCTCCTGGAGGATCTAAGGGCTCCTGGCCAACTGGGACAGTTAATCTCTCCACCATATGCTGGGTCTGCCCTGGGGTGTCCTCCTGGTTGGGTGCCCCCAGGATATCCACCAAGGGAGACACCTAGTAAAGCACCTCGGCTGCTTTGTCTCCATTTTAAGGTGCAGTAATGCAACACTGAGGCAGAACTGTGGTGGTAGGTGAGGAAACACATTAGCAGTATTGTTGTGCATGTTGATTAGTCACCTCTGACTAGACTGCTCATTCATTCTTCAACTTCATGGTTTTCTGTTAGTATAATGAACATGGCTGTTAATAGTGCTGTCAGTGACGGTGAGAGTTGGTGCCCACACTATTAATAACAGGTAGCTGATGAATCATGTTTCCTGAATTCACTTTGTTGTTAAGCAATTAGTTGACTAATCGATTAGTCAATTGACAGAAAAATAATCGCCACCTACTTTGATAATTGATTATTTGTTTAAGCATTGTTTCATTAAAAAATTATAGAAAATGCTGCTTTTAGACCCTCAAATGTGAGGATTTCCTTCTTTTTTCTCATATCATATTAAACCGAATATCTGTAGGTTTTAGACTGACAAAACAAGACATTTAAAGACATCAGCTTGGACTTGGAGAAATTGGGATGGGCATTTTTTACTATTTTCTGACATTTTATAGAGCAAACAATTAATGGATTCATGTGAAATAATCGGCAGACTAATCAATAATGAAAATAATCGTTAGGTGCAGCCCTAGAGTGCAGTAATATTAATGCAGACAGCTGAAATAGAAAATAATTTCCAAGACTTGAATTGCATGTGTGTACATACTGTGTGTGCGTGTGTGTTAGTGTTCGGCGCGCTGTGGCTCTCGGGGTGTCCGTACTCGGGAGGTTCGTTGCTCCATGGAAATGAGACTATGCAACAAGTCCTCTCAGCCAGTAGAAAGTCAGGAATGTGAAGGCCCGCCCTGTGACAGAAGATGGACAGTTTCTGACTGGGGACCTGTGAGTTTAACACCACACACCCACACCCACACACACACACAAACACGCATGCACAACAGACCAGACATTTAAACACTTCTTATTCCATATTTACTGAATTTATTAAGCTTAACATTTCAATTAAAAATGTGTGTATGTGTGCCAGTGCTCAGGTGTGTGTGGAGAGGGAAGGATGGTGCGAGCGGTGATGTGTCGATCGTCAGGTGGAGTAGTGATGTCAGAGGAGCAGTGTGACCAATCACTGCGCCCATTGGCCATCTATCCCTGTGGTGACAGAGATTGCGCCCCCCACTGGGTGGAACAGGAATGGCAACAGGTAAACATTTAAAAAGGGGGGAAAGTGTGTCTCTTTCAAATAAAGAAAATCAAAGTCAATCCTGACAGATATATACACAGTATGTATGTAACTTTAAGTTGTGTGTGTTTGTTGTGTATGTGTGTCCCAGTGCAATGCTACATGTGGGCGAGGTGTGCGGCAGCGCCAGGTGGTGTGTGCCGGGCTGGAAGGCGGTGTGTTTAAAGAGTTTCCAGACAGCAGCTGTGACCAAACCAACAAACCAGAGACTAGCTCCTCCTGCTTCCAGAGACCCTGCTCCAAATGGTTCACCACATCCTGGTCTCAGGTATCTGCAGTGGTGACTCAAGTAGAAGTAGTTACATTACTGAAGTAAAACTACAAATGTTTTTGAATCTGCGTCTAATGAAATTAGCATAAATCTCTCCCATTGCACTGCAAACAAACAGCCAAGTCAACCAGCCCATTTGGTTTCTGTTTCTCCAAATCTTGAGTCATTTAATTACTCCCAACTCCTGCGCTGTTCTGGTGACTGTGCTTTTCATGGTTTTATTTAGCTTGCAGCGTGTTTTCTTGCCATATTCGCTCAAGACACATGGAAAAAAACAGAACAGACGCTCTATCTGAACTGCCCAATTGGTTGACATCCTTACAAAAAAACACTATTACTTAGATAATAGAATTCCTATATAAATACCATAATAATCAGTTTTACTATAGTAATTATATGGTTTTTTGGAACGCGCTACTATTATATAGTATTACTATAGTATGTTCTATCTTTCTATGGTTTTTCAGACATACAGACGAAAGTTTCTATAGTAATAGTATATATTTATTAAAACATCATCATAGTATTACTATAGAAATGTTCTATAGTATGTTCAAAAAACAACTACAGAAACACTATATAATATACAATAATAATACTATTTAAAATAGCTTATGGATACTACAAAGATCTAGATACATGAAATAATATAGGGCTAATATAGCTAAAACAACACTACAGAAAAAACTATAGCAATACAAATACAATAGAACGCTACAAATCTGCTATAGTGCATTATACAATTCTTTTAGTATACTATAGTAATACTGTAGTTCATTTTTGTAAGGGCATGGACGGTGAAAGGAAGCGGGTAGTGCAGTGCTTCCGCCTCATCCCTGGCGATTTGCTACAAAATGCACATGAAAGGTTTGAATATAAATCAGATTGTAGGTTTACTCAGTAGGGAATTCTGATTTTAAAATTAGTGAAGTAGATTACACAGTGTAATGAATAGTTAACTAAGAGTAAAATTACTGGCTTAAAAAATACTCAAGTACAAGTACCTTAAAATGACTTCATTACAGTAACGTGAGTAGTTGTAATTTGTTACTTCCACCCCTGGGTGACTGGCACATACAAGTACACAACCATAGTGATTTAAAATTAGGGCTGGCTAATTGTATAAATTCCTCCACCTTCATAAATATTCTCAAGTGTCTGTGTGTGATATCCATGCTTTTTATCAAATCTAGTTTAGTAGTGTGTTTGTAGGTCTGAT